GTATAAAGTATTACATATAATTGCAGGAAAATGGGTGGAACTGGAGATCATCATGTTAAGCTAAATAAGCCAGACTCAGAGAGATAAGTGTCCCGTGTTTTCTCTCATATGTAGAATCCAGAGAGAAAAAAGAAGACAAGAAAATAGAAGAGGGGCCGCTAGGGAAGGGGAAGGAGTCCAGGGGAGTGAGGGAAGGTGAATATGATCAGCACACGGTATATGTACACCTGGAAATGTCACAATGAAACCCATGACTTTGTACAATTAATATGCATAGTAATTATAAAAAAGAGAAGAGGAGGAGGGAGAGGGGAAGGGGCCGAAGAGGAAGAAGAAGAAAGAGAAGGAGCCAGCGGAAGCCACATGTGATAGTACATGCTTGTAGCCCCAGTACTTGGGAGCAGAGACAGGAGGGACACTTGAGACCAGGAGTTCAAGGCCAGATGGGCAACACAGGGGGCTGGGGAGGAGAAAGCCAGGGAAATGGAAGCCTAAGGCATCATGGCAAAGACTGGTTCCTGACTGAAAAAATAATCAAGCCTTGAAAGAAGGAAAAAGACATTTGACCTGGGATGTAGGAGGGCAGGCTGAGTGAAGGAGGCACCATTCTTGGGGGTAATCTTTCTCCATCTCTGTACTTTCCTACATTTGAAAAAGATGGAGGATGGTTTGATCGCCTGTGGGCCTTAAGCAGTCTCTCTGTACTTTCTTCAAAAATCTTTTTCTTTTCATAGTGGTGTGCTCGATAATTCAGGAGGGAAAATACTTGTTCAGAAAGTGGCTGGACAGTCTGGTTACAGAGGCAGTTACTCCAATGGTGTCCAATCGTTGTCTCTACCACGATGGAGAGAATCCTTCATTGTCTCAGGTATGGCCACACACTGAGAAAGGCTGCCCATTTGCAGGTGGCTGGGAGACCTCCTAAGTTGAAATGTGCTCTTTTTGGGGTACTGTTAGTTTTTATTTATGTCCCACTTTATTTCACAAAAACATAAAGCATTAATTCTGATAATTAGGATCATGAAATAGTGAATATGATTACATGGTAAATCACTACAAAGTCAAATCTGAAAATATTAAAAGGCTCCAATTGCTCATTTCAAAGACTCTGCTGCTACCTGTAAATAATCAACCCTTCGGGGCCGGGGATTTAGCTCAGTGGTTTCGCCGCCTGCTATGCAAGCCAAGGACCCAAGTTCGATCCCCGATATCAAAAATAATAATAATAATAATCAACCCTTTGATAAAAACAATTAAATTTAGTAACCTTGGTTTTTAACTAGTCTTTTAGCTAGACCAAATGTGCCCCATGTCCAGAACCTTATCCATTGAGATTTCTGATAAATTAATAGCTGGGATAAATCCTAGAGAACTGAGCCACAATTTTATTTTAGCTATTTTTAATTTCTGTTTAATTGTTTCACCATTTGATCAGTTCTCCCAGTCTAGCTTGATAAGAGTTTTTGTAGATAATCATTTTCAGTCTTTACCCTCCCCCTAAAAAAATGATAGCATCATTGATGTAAGGCCACTGTGGTATGATTTCACAATTAAAAGATAACCAGATATTTTTGTACTATCATGACCCACTTTCCCACTTTGTTCTGTTTTTGTGAATTTCCCCAGCCCAATGTTTTATTTTGAAATTTTTATGTTAACAGAAAAATTAAAGAATAGTTCAATGAATATCCATGTTCCTTACAGCTAGGTTCACCAATTGTTAAATTTTGTCACATCTGTTTTACCTACCTATCTATCATCTGCTAAACTCTGTTCTGAACCATCTGAAAGTAAGCTGCATGCACCATGATACTTTATATCTAAATACTTTGGCACATATCTTGTAGGAACACAAACATTTCCCTAAATAACAGCAATACTAATACCACACCTAAAAATTAACATCAATACAGTGATATTATCTAATAAAGACTAGGGAAAGTGAAGCAGGAGGATTGCAAGTTTGAGACATATCTGGGCAATTTAGTCAGACCCTGTCTCAAAATTTGATTTAAAAATTTAAAACATGGGGTTGGGGATTTAGCTCAGTAGTGCCACTGCCTGTCTCTCAAGCACAAGGTCCAGAGTTCAATCCCAAGTAGCAAAAAAAAAAAAATGTAAAAAATAAGCTGGGCACATTGGCATGCACCTGTAATCCCAGCACTTGGGAGGCTGAGGCAGGAGGATTGCTGTGAGTTCAAGGCCAGCCTAGGCTACATAATGAGTCCAAGGCCAGTCTGAACTACATAGTGAGACCCTGTCTCAACAAACAAAAATTTTTAAATAAAAAAGGACTAAGGATGTAGCTCAGTGGTAGAGTGTCCCTAAACTCAATCCCCCAGTGCCAAAATATTCCAAAATATTCTTTATAATAATTTCTTCTTTTTCTTGTTTGATCCACAAGCTGATCCAAGATTATTAATTACATTTTAGTTGTCATATCTCTTTAGTCTCCTTTAATCCCGCACTACACTACTTCTTTTGATCACAAATGGCACTGACATCTATGATGCCCAGGACAGTTGTCCGGTGCGATTTCTTACAATCTGAACCAAAAGTATGTCCATCTAGTCCCCTATGAGTAAAGATTTTGAAAAGGATAGGTAGTATCATAGCACATACCTTGTATTATACTACAGTGGCCATACCTGGAGGCATAAAATAGTTTGTCTCATTGTTGGTGACACTAAATTTGGTTACTTGAATACTTTCCCATATCTCTCAGGGTGAGGGTACTTGTAATTAATAGGTAATCTGTAGGATGATACTTCAAAACACAAGAGTAACTTCTTCCCCAATAAATTTCACTTAACACATGTAACAGCCATTGCTCATCTTTGCAGTAGCAAATATTACATGAGTACAGTAGCCCCTCAGAATCATGAGAGACTGGTCCAGAACCCCCTCTGGATGTTAAAATCTTCAGGGTGTTCAAGTCTCTAATGCAAAATGATGTGATACTTGCATAGAACCTTCATAATCCTCTCCTATACTTTCATCTCTCAATTACTTATAATGCCCAGTATAATGAAAAGGTTATGTAAATAATTGTTACACTGTACTGACCAAAAAAATGTACATCTTCAGTACAGACATAATTTCTTCCAAATATTTTCAATCTGGAGTTAGTTGAGTCGACAGTTTTGGAGCTCACAAAAACAGAGGGTTGACTGTAATTGTAAAATTATAATTTTTCCTAATTATCCCTTCCTTCCACATTCTAGTAGCTAGTATTCTCACATAAAGAAGAGTTTTCTTTCCTTCACCTGTAACTTTTTTAATGTGGTCAGTGGACTAGTGGGTTGTTTTTTAAAATATAATCTGTTATTACCATTATCCTTATTCCCCTTGTTGGTTCTCAGATCTGAGATTGGCCAGTGGGACCCCTGTTCTTTGACAGGTCTACAATAAAGTTTGTGTCCTTTGCTCAACTTGAACTTCCGCTTCTTGGAATCTGAATGCCCCATATTCTCTAAGGAGTTTCCAAGGAATTTTAAACTAGATTCTAACAAAACTTCTTCTTCTTTTTTTTTTTTGATACTGGGGATCGAACTCAGGACCTTGCAGTTGTGAGGCAGGAGCAGAACCACTGAGCTAAATCCCCAGCCCTCTAAAAACATTTCTTGACCTCCCAGCAAGACTAGATGCCAAAAGACTTTGCTGAGAAGCAGACACCTATTGAAAGCAGAGAGAGAAATGTCTTATATCATAGTAGGTCTTCCAATCTGGGTGGTTCTCTGGCATAATTAGGCTTCAGGCCCCAAACCTCTACTATCCTCCATCCATCAGAGTCATAATGAAACTAAAGACAGACCTTTGAGGATTCTTCTTAAATTGAACAATCCCTACTGCCTTTAGCCTAGCCAAATGCCCCACTCCAATGAGAGTCCTTTCTTTATCAGATAATGGAAGGGCACTCACCACACGACTGCAGGTCTCTTTGCCTTGTAACGAAGAATTCAGAAAATGGGCTACATGAAAATGTGAGTGTTTGGAACGCAAATATGTTGAGCTAGAAAAGATAATCCCCATGTAGCTTTTTACCTGGCAACTCCTGGCTAAGAGCATTTCAACCTCAAGGGCTCAGCTTGCAATCCAAGCATCCCACCAAAGTTTTAATAAACCTTAAAAAAAAAAAAAAAGATTAATTCCATGAGAGCAGATATGTTTTGGGTTTTTAAGTGAAAATCAATCTGCTGAGATTATTTCCTACAAATCTCAACTGCTCTCTCCCCTCATTTTACCTAGTGACATTTGACTGAAAATGCTTTTCGCCAATGATAACAAACATTTGTGCTTCTGCCGTGGATGGGAGCCCCCTTCTGAATAGATGAGCTAGCACACTGCCACATGGGGCTTCGGCCAAGGAACACTCCATTATTCCAGGGTTCACAGCCAAAAAGTCTAACAGGATCGTGTCAGAATCCTCTTCTGAAGGCTAAAATGCCTCCATGACCTTTCTTTGGATTTTTATTTCTAATTTTTACAGGTCGCTGTGCCCCTCCAGTTAACCTGTACTGGGGAGCTGGGGATAAATGGGTGGAGAGAAACGTGCGGTCATGTGATCGCTGGACAGTCAAGGGTGTGAGGGTCGGTGCCTCAACGCTCTTTGACCCACACTTTAGAAAACTGAGCTCATGCTCCTTTTCCTTCGGAATAGGAACAGAAAGAACTACTGGGTTTTAGTTGGGAGAAGAATATGAAGTAGAGGGAGATGGTGTTTCTTCCCCATTTTCTGTTGATAAAGTGTGACCCCCAGCCATGAGGCCCTCTTAGGGCAGAAACGACCTCAATCAGTGTCTATTCAGAGTAGGCCTGCACTTGTCTGAGAGCTTGGACATCCCCAGTTCTGTCCTTAGTGTGATTTTTTTTTTTTTGGTACCGGGGATCAAACTCGGGTCCTTGCACTTGCGCAGCAGGCAGCAAAACCACTGAGCTAAATCCCCGGCACCCAGTGTGATTTTCCTAAGCTGGAGTAACTAAAACCAATAAGTCCAAATATTTTGCCTCGTTTTGTCTTTGAGTAACATTTATAGATAATACTTGAATACACCATAAGGGTTTTTTTTTTGGTACCGGAGATCAAACTTGGGACCTTGCGCTTGCAAGGCAGGCACAGGAACCACTGAGCTAAATCTCCGGCCCAACACCATAAATTTTTTGAGTCTTTATGGATATATGCGGTGTGATCGAAAAATACGGTGAATATTTTTTAAAAAATTTTTTTACACTAAAAAACACATTGGAATAACTCCCTTCAAAATACTGACCTTAACTTCAAACACACTTAACCTATCATTCTTGCCATTTTCTGAAGCCATTCTGGAAGTCCACTTTTGTGTCTTTAACTGTGCTGTGGTAACTGCCTCCACGTCCTCAATACAGTAAAATGTTTACCTTTCATTTTGACTCTGAGGAAGAGCCAGAAGTCACACTGCGCTCGATCCGGTGAACAAAGTGGATGAGGACACACCCTAACGTTTTTACAAGCCTGCCTTTCCTTGGATGACGCTTGCATTCACCATACATTTGCTCACACCTTGTAAAGTCACTCATGAACAAGGACTTCCAGAACTGCTTCAAAAAGTGGCCAGAACAACAAGATAAGTGTATTTGAAGTGAGCAGGAGGATTTGGAAGAGAATGGCAATGTGTCTTTTACTATAACCAATTTTTTATTTTAAATATTTATGGTTTTTTTTATGTTTATTTTGATCCCACCTCTGATGATATGTAGATAAAGATGGATAGAGAGATAGAGGTAGAGATAGAGATAGAGAGATAGAAAGATAGATAGATGATAGATAGATAGATAATTCCAAAGTTTTCTTTTCCCCTCAAATTCCCATTACTTTGTGTAGTGAGTAGAGGCTCTACCATTGCTCTGTGTTTCTGAATGAAGAAAATGGGTCTTGGAGATTGCAGCACCCACTTAAAGATAAAATGGAAAGTGAAGCCTAGCTTCTCCCACTCCCAGTCCAGTCCTTTCCCAGACCCTACAATCCCTCGTGGCCCTAGGGAGTCTGTAGATCCCACCCCACCCTCCAGGGACAGCCTCAGCACCCCAGCCTCTAACCGTATCCCCTCATGTTGAGGGCTGAAGGCTCTCATTATTCCATGTAAAAGCTGGAGAACATGAGCCAGATGCTTGTGAGGCCCGGGAAATGTAACAGCTCCCAACAGAGACAATTGCTTGCCTTTAGGGCGCTTGCTATGTTCCAGAGGCCCTTGCCCTTTATGACAGAAGGAAGCTCCTACGGTGGAATTGAAGGCATGTCCTCTGGTCAGACAGCTTTGCAGGCAGCCGCTTCTCAAGCAATTTGATGTCCTGCCAGCCTAGGTACCTGCTTATCCAGCTCCATTCACTGCCTCTATTTTTTATGCCACCACTGTTTCTTTGTTAGACATTACTATCCCTCCTCCTTGCCTGCATCTAAAGCCTCTCCCAGGGTAGACAACAAGTGATTATTTTCTTTTTCTTTTTCTTTTTTGGAGATGAGACTTTCTATGCAGTCCAGGGTGGCCTTGAACTTGCAGTGATTCTCCTTCCTCAGCCTCGAGAGTGCTGGGATCACAGGTGTGTGCCACCGGTCCCCACTACAAGTGGTTATTTTCCATGCTGGAGTCTCTGAACCTACTTCCAGGCTTCTGTACTGCTATAGAATTCAAACAGATCCTACAGGATCTGTGGCTGTGACCCAGAGCCACTCTCAAATAACCAGCCCTGCCTGAGAACTCTGTCACCTACCAGAGGGTGCAGAAGTTTTGGGTTCAGCTACTGCAGCAATTAAACATTCAAAGGCACACGAGTGAAATAGGACTGCTAATGTTCAAGGACTCAGAGTCAGGGAGATTTTATTGCTTCCATTCGAATATTAATAAAACACAGGCTCTATGGGAAAACAAAATGCCACTTGACTTTCTTATTGTAATCAACAACTCATTCCGAAGGAGACTGATTTTATTGAACTCGAGAGAAAGAAATTGAAAGGAGTGAATCAGCTTATCAGTACAGAGCCATCTAAAACCTCTAGCTCCAGAAACAAATCTCTTTCCCCTCCTCTTTTTTGCAGAAAGCAAACCCAAAAAGGGTGTAACCTACCCATCGGCTCTTATATATTCATCATCCAAGACTCCAGCTGCCAAAGCAGGCAAGTGTTCATATGTGATTTAATCCAAACCTTCTCAGTTGGTAAACACAAAATACCATGTTTTAGGAGTTGGTGTAGAAATTAACATGTTCACCAGTCAAGCCCCACTGACTCTGGGGATATTTTAATGGATGCCAGGAACAAAGCAGAGGGATCAATGGGACCAGACAGCTGTGGCTGAGGAATGAAGGCTTTATGTTTTTGTTTTCACCATCGGAGACTGTCTCTATATTTGTGTCATTTTCATTTAGAATGACTGTTGCCTTGAAATTTATCGTATTGTTACTTTAGAAGACGCTAGGGCATTCTGTCTGGAAATGTTCCCTGGCAAATAAAAGGAAAAAAGGCTGGATCTACTTACAAATGAACGCCAGGGGGAAAATATGGCTTATGTGATCACAGCAAGCAGCTGATGCAAGTCACCCAGGCCAAAATACGTGATCTTCGGGGTTGTGCCGACCCAGCTCCCACATGAGCCACCAACGGGGCCACAGGTAGACCTTGGGCCAAGACATGTTGTCTTTTCAGATTTCTGTATTAAATCAAGAACCAGGCCATCAGTATTGTCTTGGGAGGTCCTCTGATCTCCCACACAGTCACAGAGAAGCTGTGAGCTGTTTGCTTTCTCAAGATATTTGGTATTTGCTTTCAGGAGCTTGCTGGGATAGCTGGTGTACCTCAGATTGTACTCATGAATGCAAGGGGACCCTGATTGACGAATAGCACTGGGAGCTAGCATTTATGGAGTGTTGGCTATGTGCCAGGTGCTGTTGCAAGACCCTTACCTGATCGCTGTAATCACCCTGACCACCATCGAGATGCACTGTCCTTAGTCCTAAGTAAGTTCCTCTTGCCAAACAGGTAGAAAGTAGCAGAGTTGAGAGTCAATCCCATAGGATGGTTTCAGAAACCCCTCTCTAAATCGCTGTGCTGGCTTTTCTTATGCTAATAACAATGCAAACAAAGAGTGTCTATTTACAAGCCTTGACGTACAAATAAGAGATTTTTTTTTTTTTTTTGGTACCAGGGATCGAACTCAGGTCCTTGAGCTTGCGAAGCAGGCAGTGAAACCACTGAGCTAAATCCCCAGCTTAGGGATTTTTGTTTGTTTTGCCTCATCTGTATCTTTAATGACTTTTTAATTAGTCCAGTGATCTACATGTGTGTTTGGTTGCAAGGACACAGGTGTCTCATACCCAAGCCACAAGTTAGCAGTGGGTGGCGGTACCTTCTGGACAGTGTCTGAGCTATCGCCTGTCCTCTTGTGGTGTGGACACAGGGAAGAGGAATAGGTGACAGGGGCCTCCTTAAGTGGTAGATGTCTATTGCTTCCTCTAGCCCAGTGGCCTCTGCTCATGTCATGATTTCTGCATAGGTGAAATGGGACAGTGCTCAGTTTTATCCTAGCCTCTTTTGTGGGATCCTCAGCCCTGGACCCAGCCGCCTGCTGGGCAGGGAGCCATGGGAACTGCTGGGGCCCCCTCTGGGCCTGAGAGCACTGGGATGAAGTGTGGTTAACCTTCCTCTTCCCACCCCATTCTCCTTTGGCTTCTGAGGGCTGTGGGCTGGGACCCTCCAGCTGCACCCTTCCCCTTCAAACAGAGTCCCCATGTACAAGTGAACCCCCAACTTCAGGAACCACATGTCAAGCACCCATCTTTTTGCCCTGAGGGAGGAGAGTACTTCTAGGCTCCCAGAAAACTCCCTGGAAGTCTCCACAGACTGGCTGTGTGGATGTTAGGCCTTGGGAAGCTCAGCGGAAGACGGGGGCCCTCTCCCCACAGCCTCCCATAGGCCCCTGTGTTTTGCTGAAGGACTCTAGTGCAGCACCTTCACCTCGCTGGGGAAGGACAAAACAGGAAGGAAGAGTGGGGGTGTCTTCTCACCCTGAGCCCTTCACTCCCCAGAACGTGGCTGCTGAACACTCTCCTCTGGTCCTTTCCTTCTCCTCAATCCCTGGTTGACTGCAGAGTATATTGGAATGGTTCCCTGAACAGGGAGCTCAGCAGCCCTTCCCCTTGTTACAGCCAGCTAAACTAGACAGAAATATTATAAGCAGTCAGACAGGCCTGGGCCCTCGAGAGACTCAGGACAAAGTTAAAACACATCACAACTGAGGCACACTTGTTGGAGGCCAGGCCTCGAGATAAAGACAAAATGACCAGGCCTAAGATAAGTGGTAACACCTGGCCTAACAAAGGCTAGATAGACATCAGTCACCTCGGTTGGTAACCAAGACCCTCGGACTCATCCCTTCCTAAAAAGTTCTTTGTCCCTTCCATGTGCACTTGCTACATGACCTGCTTCCCCATTGGATCAATGTTACCTAAGTGACTGTACTTATAATCTGATTGGTTGATCGTGGCTGTAACCCAAGTTGTACCCATGTGGTCACGCTCTATAAAACTTCCCCTGAGAACCAGGGTCCTCAGCAACCCACTTTCGGGCCCCTTCCTGCCTCTCAAGAGCTATATCTTTCTCCTCAATAACTATCTCCTACTCTAACCTCTGTCGTTCCCTGGAATTCATTCTTTGATTCTGGGGAACACAAACCCAGCATGTCAGGCATCTAGCAGGTAAAGAGTTATAATGTTTTCCCTGTTCATGTCCTATATCATTTTCTATATCACCCTCACTTAGAGGGGGTACTCAGGCCCTTCTTCTCCACCTTTCAGCCAGAATCTGAACCATGGAAAGAGGCCACACAGCCTCCAGTGACCTTAGGTATCTGTCACAATCTGCCCGTGACAGCCCTTTGCCCTGCTATGACCCCACAGTGGTGTCAGTATCCTGTTCTCCTCCAGATAAGGAAGCTGAGCTTAGAGAGATTTAGTAACTGAACCGAGGGTATGATCCTCAGTGGCCTGAAACAGGACTGAACCTCTGATTGTATCACCTTAAAGCAGGTAAGGTTGTAGGGAGAGGGGTGCAGGGGAGAGGAAACCTCGCCAAGAGTTGCCTTATATTATAGAGTCCATTTGGTTCTCAGGTCTTCCATAACAGAGATCATCTCCAAAGCTTCCCACCTACCCAGCCCCATGGCCATTCACTTGAGCCATTGCTCCCTCTCCCTGTGTCCCTGACAGCCAGGAGGAGTTTAGGTGGGCCAGAGTACTTTTTTTTAATTTACTGCGATGTAAATTCATAAATTACCAAAAGCCAAAATTAAAACACAAACATTTCTGATGTTACTTGCCTCCTTTACCAAACCATCTCAACCTCCTGTGACAGTATCACCAGGACTTGCTACTAACTCCTTATGACTGGGTCACTCATGATTATCAGAGTGAGAAGAATTACATGCACTGTCAGTTCATTCATTCATCACATGGGAGCCACGCACAGAGACCCTCCCCCGAGACCTCCCCAGACCCGGGCTAAACAACAACTGTTCAAGTTCAACATAAGGAGATGCGGGGTCTCACCCAGCTTCAAGATAGAGGAGCCTCTGCTTTCAAAATCACATGCCCACTTGGGGCCGGGGATTTAGCTCAGTGGTTCCGCTGCCTGCCTCACAAGAGCGAGGACCCGAGTTTGATCCCCCGGTACCATAAAAAAAAAAAAAAAAATCACATGCCCACCATGGAGTAGGTTTGCAACAATTCAAATAAAAAATTCCAGGGCCAAGGATTTAGCTCAGTGGTTTCATCGCTTGCCTTGCAAGCGCAAGGACCCAAGTCTGATCCCTGGTACAAAAAAAAAAAAAACAATTCCAGTGGAACTGTAGAAGAGTGGTCCTCTTGTCGGTACTTTTCCTTAAATGATTACATTCCTTCAGAAAGCGGGTGAAGCAGAAGAGGCAGAGATTGCTCAAGTCTCAGCGTGCCCACCTGTAATCCTTCCCCATCTGTCCAAGAATGTGAGTTAACAGGCAAATCAGGTTGGGATGACCACCCCCAAAGCACGACGTGATTTCCATAGGAAATCATCTCACTTGAAAAATAGACATCTTGTGCTTGCTTCGGCAGCACATATACTAAAGTTGGAATGATACAGAGAAGATTAGCATGGCCCCTGCGCAAGGATGACACGCAAATTCGTGAAGCATTCCATATTTTTTCAAAATCTGGCTGGTGGAATACCATTCTGGTCATCTTTAAAAAAAAAAAAAGAAAGAAAAGAAAAATAGACATCTTCTAGTCTGGCTTTGTGTCACTCCTGCTGAGAACAGACACCGTCTGAGGTTGAAATGCTATTCCCTAGGCGGTTAACAACCATTAGGTGGGCAGCTGCTTTTTGGCTAGAGCCTCCATCTACGTGGAAGTAAATAAAAACAGGCAAGTGTTGATTTGTAGAAATTCACTCACACACGTGCACGCACACACACATGCATGCACGTGTGCGCAGATGGAACAGTACATCCCTGGTACCACTGCAAGAGATGAGAAAATACATTTTTTTGGAGCCTGCTGAGCAACAGTGCGATGAAAAGACCCTTGCTCCCCTTGGCTGTACCTAAGGTCTCCCTCCGGAAGAAAGTCAAGCTGAAGCTGTTGCAGTAAGTGTGACCACCAGGCAGCCCTACCAAGCCAGCCTCACCTCTCTTCAGAACAAGGTCGCTTTGGTGAGATCTCCCAAGACCCTGGGCCAGCTTTACTAGGAACTACATTCAGGAACCCTAAACCCACTCGAGACTTGTCTTCTATTCGATTCCCTTTTCATGTTAAAAAAAAAAAAAAAGCACAGATTTGGGATCAAATGCACATTAGTCCAAATCTGAGCTCTGATACCTATTGTCCACATGATCATAAGCTCATTTCTTGACCTCTTGGAAAGCCAGGTCCCCATCTCAAAAATAGAAATACTTGAATCAACTTCCAGGATTGTGATCATACTGAATGTGAATGGTATAGACAGGAGGCCTTCAGAGTGGCTGCTCGTAGTAGACGCGATGCTCAATGAATATTAAATTTCCTTTCCTCATATTCAGCCCTGAGGCATGGGATGAGTTAGCAGTGGAAAGGATCAAATCCTTCCCAGCACTCTGATCCCCAGACATTGCTGCTAACCTGGTTTCTGGCTTCTCTGGGTTACCTAGTTATTTTTCTCATTTCTGGGACAAAATACCAACACCCAAAGTTAAAGAAGGAAAGATTTAGAGGTTTCAGTCTCTGTAGAGGTTTCAGTCCAAGACAGGATGGATGGCAGAGGGGCATCACAGAGGAGAAACAGTTCATGGCAGGCAGAAGACAGCAAAAGCAAACAAGAGAGCAGCAGTAATAGCAGCTTCTTTCTGTCGCTTTATATTCTATCTAGGATCCCTGCCCTTATGAGTAGCACTCATACCCAAAACTGCCAAACCAATTAAAGGAGTAGTTTAGTAATCACACAGCCTTAATCCCAGCATCACAATGCTCTAGATCCAGCCACCGCTGACCACATGAGGCTTTGGGGGGACTTCTAAATACAAGCCATAACACCCTACATCTGACACTCATGGAAAACACTGCTGTCTCCCAGTGGTGGGGGAGGCACAGCACAGCACTAAACATCATCATAGCATGAGGGACTTGATCTCTAACTGTAACAACAGCTTCCACCAAGTGGATATGAGCAACCCTTTTGTGTGCAAAGGAAGCCAGGCTCAGGAAGCTGTAAAGAAAAGGCTGCTGAGGGTGTAGACAGGGCCCCAGCCGGGCCCTGGTTGTGGTTCTCAAATCAGAACTCCAAGGCATGCTTCAGACTTGGTGAGTCTGGGAGCAGGACCCTGGAGTCTCCTGTCTGGAAGTCAGTGAAGGACAGTGGGCACAAACAGCCATGGAAGTCCAGAGAGATGGCCTTGTTGGTTGACTTTAGCATGTACATAAGCATCTCTATCCTGAGCATGTAACACAGTGCCCGCCCTCTGGAGACCTAAGCACTCTCTAGCAGTCAGAAGCCTTGGAAGTAGCCAATGGTGTGAGAAAGATAATTCAGATTTCCAATATATAATAAGTTTAGAGTGGCAAAAATGTCCACTAAAGTTTGCTTATATAGAAGTTTGTTTTTAGTATATTATGGCTTAATTAATATTTTGCAGGCAAAATGTACAGTCAGCTTATTTATACATTTCTTTCCATGTTAATAATTACATCCTATTTTCTAAAATGTATAAGTGGTTCCGTTAAATGCCTTTTCCCTAGATGAAATAGGTTGAGTCTAGTCCTCTTCTCATTAAAGGGGACTAATGCCTGGTAGCATTGACCACAGGGTGATGCTAAGGACTACTCTGAAAGATTTCCTAGGACCCACTATGAAAGTTGGGGTGAAGATTGGCTGGACCACCAAGGCCATCACCAGCTCATTAGTGCTTTGTCTGGCAGGGTCTGCAGGCAGATTGAAAGGGACCTGCATCCCCCCATGACTGGCTGGTGCCTGCAGGAGCAGCCTGAATGGCTGGATCCCAACCCAATTCCAGGCTCCTCTTTGCAGATCTGCCCTCCCAAGTCAGTGCTATGATTTCTGCAGACAGTGAGTGTCAAGGTGGGGAGATGAGCAGGTGACAAAGCTGGGCAGGGCATCCAACCACCCCACCACACATTTGTTCACAGGACTGTCACTCTGACTGCTTTCTCCAGACACTGGGCATTGTACAATGCTATACACTGTCAAAGAGGATGTCAGATGGTTCCTATGAAGAGACAGGAAGTACTTCCTATCTTAGATGCTGTCCCCTTGGCCTGCTGTTCTATGGATCAAAAGTGGCATCAACCCTAAGCAGAGTTAAGGGTAGAGCTGGAACTCCATGTTGGGCTCCAAAATACACCCCCACTCCAAGATCCTCACACCCTAATCACCAGAAGCTTCCCTTATTTGAAAGGGAGGAGAGGCACTGATAAATATTATTAAGGATTTTTAAGTGGGGAAGTTTTTTCTGGATTATCTGGGTGGGCCATAAATGCAACCACATGTATTCTTATAAAAGGGAGGCGGAGAGAGATTATTTCATACCCCATAGAGAATAAGATCGTGTGCAGATGGAGCAGAGAAATAACGAGGATGCTCAAGGAATGCCAGAGCCAGGTGCAACCAGACGAGGCAAGACACACACTCTGCCCTGAGACCCTCCAACTCAGCACTGCTGTTGCCTTGAGTTTGACCCAATGATACTGACCCTGGACTTAGAATAAATTTGTTGCTTTATGCCACCAGGTTTGCTGTGACTTGTTATAGCAGCCATACCTATGACACCAGACACTCAGGCATAGGAGCTGTCCTACGTAGCTCACTGGGGGCCTGGCCAGCACATGCAACAACCATCCAGGACTGAGGTGCTGTTCACTGTGGGGTACATCAGACCAAGTTCTCAAGACAGTCCCCAATGCTCAGTGGGCAGCCATTGGTCCCCTTGCCCCATACCTTCAGAGATACTCTCAGGCAACCAGAACACTAACAAATTGAGATTTGCTTTGTGAGGGGACAACTAAAGTATGTTTATAATTCTGGAAGCAATCCAAATCCTCACACATGATGGAGGAGCAGAATTGAGAAGAAGAATCAAGATAATTCTGACCATCTCATTAGTTCCATCAGCCCGTTTTACAGACAGAAAACTGGGAGCCAGAGAAGTCATAAACCAACCTAACCTAGAACAGCTGAAATGCATTCTCTAAGCATAAATCATAGTGAAAGTCCCCCTCCCAATACCGTCTATCCATAGGCCAATGCTCATCGAAACAGGAAAAATAGAAGTATGTACATGAACAATTACTCAGGGTGCCTGGAAAATTAATTTGGCAACTAATCATATTTTGCCTTGTCCATGTTGCTGTAGTGTTGAGTTGTCATTTAAACATTGTTGTTATTTAATCTTTGGTTTATTGATTGGCTTATCCCTTTAAGGGGTGTACATTTCTCTAAGCGGGAACCATGGGCTGTTTGTCTAGTTCTCCCCCCACCCACCCAACCCATAGCCAGCTAGCACTGGTCTCTATCACAGCTAGTGTTCAGTAAACATTTATTTGATTTCTAGTCCTCTCAACAGCATACAGGCTATTTTGTAGCCCTAGCGTAATTCCATTTTCTTACAGATGAGACCACCAAAGCCTATCAAAAGCCATCTGTTCCAGAGACAACTGCACAGCCAGTGGCTCTGATGCAGGTCTTGGCTAACCTGGAAACTGAGGCCACTCACATCACCTTGCCAAAGCCATCTCTACTGGTAGCCTCTGACACCAGCAGCCCCAGGCCACAGCCCATGGGCCACAGGAGCTGGGAGATGGGTAAGTAGTAGACCATGTGTTGTTGCGTGCTACAAGAGTGGCTCATGAGGACTTGAACGTAGCAGCTCTATGTGAACATGAACATGCAGTGCCCAGCCCCCACCTCGAGCTGGCCGGATGGGAGGACCTGAGACTTGCATAAGAGGGCTTAGGGTGTGTCCCTGCGGATTCCAAATAGGACTGTGGTAACTTCGGTCTTGAAGATGCGATATTTTGTCAAACTTTCCCATTACACAATCTCCATTTCTCCAAAAGCTCAACTGAAAGGGTAGGAGGTTCTCATGAAACCATTGTTGGATTGGCAGGTTGTTTCTTGTTGGTTGGTTTTGTCTGTCTGTTTGTTAAGTAACAAGTGGTATATAATTGGAAGTCTTCCAATATTAGAAACACCACCCAAAATATTAATTCAGGAAAAGTCAAATGGTTGAAATTTTTGTTCCTTTCCTGATTGCTTTTTGTCTGACCACTTATATTCATTTCTTAAATGGGCTTTATCAAAGTCTAGTTTATGAGATTAATCTCTGCACGACATCAAATAAAGTCTTAATCCAATCTTGGTTTCTGCACAAGCTTCTACCTACAGTATCTGGGGCTGATGAGCACCTATCGAATTTCAAAGTCTTCCTAGCAAAAGGAGATGGGAAATTCCGAAGTTAGAATGCCACTATTGTCAGAGAATTGTTTTCTGAATATTTATTTCCTTTTTCATTCAGGAGGAAGCTCCTAGGACTTGTTTTCAGCCTCTCATCCAGCTTCCAATCATGACTTCCATGCAGCATGGCCCTTCCCCCTGCCTAGCAGAGCCCAGTTCACTCCATCTTTTTATTTAACACACGGGAATCAGCACTTTCAGCGTGCTGGACACTTTTCTAAACAATTTACAAATATCAGCCTATTAAGCCCTTTGTAACAACCCTGCAAAGGTGGATATATTACTTCTCATTTGAATAACCCATTAGATTGACGAGGAAACCAAGGAATAGAGTAAGGAGAAAGGAGAAAATTTGTTGCCGGTCACACAGCTGGGAATTAGCAGAATAGGAATTCAAACTCCAGTCTGGGCCACCCCTACCATCAACAAACACACCAGACCCAGGAAGAGCATACCTTGACATATGTGGGGTGGCAAGATTCGAGGTTGCTAGACCTACCCAACTTCTCCTGCAATTAATAATAAGTGATGCTAGGGATGGTGGCTTGTGCCTATGATCCCAGCACGCTGGGAAGCTGGGGCAGTGGGGTCACAAGTATAAGCCCAGCCTGGGAAACTTAGTGACTTAACAAGACCCTGTCTCAAATTAACAAATAGTAATAATAAAATAAAAGGGCCTAGAGATGTATCTCACTGCAAAGGCCTGAGTTCAATGTCCAATACCACAAAATAATAATAATAATAATAATAAATATCAGAGTTACACAGTCCATACAATCCATGGCCAGGCACCTTGCATGCACTATTTTAATCTTCCCAACCCCTCTATGATATTCAGTCATACTTTGGTGCTCAACTGCTTTGTATTCTGACGTGAAAATCTTGTCCCCGTATTCATCCTGTGTTTGACACCCAGTGTGCAAGTTAGAACCTGTCAGTGCCCACCGCCTCGTGACTGGCTACCCTTCCGGCACAAACAATTTTTGGTCCTCATTGTCTTCGGTTCTCCTGGGGCTACCCAGAACCATTGATGATGAGTATCAAGGTACCACTGCAGGAATTAATATTATTCTATTTTATAAGTGACTCATGGAAAAAGCTGTGATACAAACTTTCCAAATCAGAATATCATAAAAATATTTTGTGAGATTTTTTAAATACATCAGACACTGCCCTCCCCAACCATACTATTCTTTTTTACCTCCGGCTAACATTAACACAGGCCCACGATACGATGGCAAAAGAGAAATGGTTAGAAAGGATGCTGACAGCCAGAACTAATGGGTCCCCGAGCCAGAAGTTTCCTTTGTCACATCTCAGGCCCTTGACTTTAGATTCCTTCATTCTTTCAAACATATTTGAGCTTCTGAATAATGTGTTGTTGCTCCTGTTGGCTCCTCGAAGACATCAATTCTTACATAACACTTTTAATTAAATATGTGGGATATTTATTTAGCTACACTGGGAGCGCAGAAATCCTGTTACAAGTTGGGCTGTGCCTGTGGAAAACCTCCAGAAACCTGAATTAGTGGCTCCCAGTCTGGCAGAGCGTCATCATTCCTGGCCTTGGGCCCACAGCCTCCCAGACCGCTGGTGTCCCCTCCGCTTCCTGTCCTGCTCACTGCCACCCTGACACGCCATGCAGCGTGGCCAGGCCTCTTTAGATAGGAGTCAACAGGGTGGGGGCAAAGGGCTAACATGTGTATTGTCTACTCAAAGAAAGGGAGAAAAAAGTGACGTGCATGTTTCCATCCCTATGTTCTTTTGTAATGACAATTTTATTGAGATACTTGTCACACTGCATACAATTCACCAACTTAAAGTGTGTAACGCAAAGGTTTTTAGTATATTCATAGTTATACTAAATCAATTCTAGGACATTTTATTTGTGGTTGTTGGTTTTTGTTTTTTTTTTGGTACCGGGCATTGAACTCAGGACCTTGTGCTTGCGAGGCAGGCGGCAGAACCACTGAGCTACATCCCTGGCCCTCTAGGACATTTTATTACCCCTGAAAGAAACCTCATATCTATGACCCTCACCCTTTCTCTAAACCACTCCCTTCAGCCTTAGGTAGCCACCAATCTACTTTTATGAATGTCTCTCTTAATGTATGGAGATATATAGATAGATAGATAGATAGATAGATAGATAGATAGATAGATAGATATAGATATAGATATAGATATAGATATTTGTTGTGATATTTTAGTCCAACTATATTTAAATAACTCCTTCTTTTCTTCAAACAAGCTGAAAATATTCTGCCAATAATAAGAGAGCAACTCTCCTTAGACTGCTAATAGACAAGTGAGTCGCTGTTATTTATCAAGGAAAGATTTTTTCCCTATATATCTGTGACTGTAGTCAAAAGACGCTAGAAGCAGTTGTAGATGGGGTGGTCAAGCAAATCCTAATTCACTTATTCATTCAAGAAACATCCATCAAATGCCTGCTGTGGGTGGCCCAGTGTTCTGGGATCTTGGGCTACCTCAGTGGACACATCACCATGCTATCTGCAGCAGGTTACTCGGGCTTGGGACCCCTGGCGAGCGCGTGGCTGGAAAAGGAAGCACCTGTCATTCGCCGTCTGGGAGTCAACTTGGCCCTAAAATGAGGTCCAAAGCTGCCTGTCACAAAGGACGTAAACACTTGGAAGCTAATGAGAGTAAAGCAGAAAAGCAGAAGACGGCACAGGGTCTTTCGCAGCTCATGGGGAGAGATGGAGGCAGATGGAAGGACTCTAAGGGAGGTGATTTGGTTAGTCAAGACCCCTTCCCTGATCCATGCGTACGCAAACTAAACAAGACAGAAAGAACAAGCAAGGCTGGGCGTAAAGGAACCAAGGCCGAGGAAAACAGGCTTCTCACGGGGACAGGGGTAAGGCTGCTCTTCATGGCAGAGGCCAGGGTGGCACTGGTCCCCAGGACCCAAGCTGCTGCAGAGCTGCGCCCCACTTCCGGAAGGAGCAGCCTAGACAGACAGACCTACAGCTAGGCTCAGGAAAGAGTCCTGAGAAATGCAGAAAATGCCTCCGGGTCCTAGAAGGGAGCGTGGCTGCACTTAGTGCGGTTTCCGACTCAAGCTCATTTCAAGAAGCACCTTGGTCGCTTCAGCTGATCCGGCTTTGAGTGTACACCACAGATCAGAGACAGGACAGAAGAGCGCCGCCTAGTGGTAAGGGGCGGCAATGGCGTGGCCCTCATAACCACCTGGTGACGTAGGGCCACTCAGGGAGAAGAAGCAATGAAACTTGAGACAAGAAGAGACCAGTATCTACCACTGCCCATCCCTTCCACTTGCTAGCTCCCCTCTCACCAACATGTCTTGCACCTGTGAAATTTTATCTTTCTTTAGGTGTCTGCAGAAATGTCTTCTTAGGGGCCAGGGATTTAGCTCAGTGGCACCATGCCTGCCTCGCGAGCGCAAGGTTTTCTTAAAATCCAGTCTTACAAAGAGTAAGAAAAAGACAAGCGTTCCAAATGAAAAATGAGGAAAGGTCATGGCCAGGCAAGCTACAGGGGACTACAAATGGCGGGTAAATGTATTGTTTAAAAGATGTTCAACATCACCAGGAATCAAATAAGTGCAAATTAAACAACAAAATTTCATTTTCCCCCAATTTACAATGCAAAGTGATAATACAGTTTGGGTAAGAGTCTGGTGAATTGAACAATTCACACATTCAAAAATATATTCTAAAGTAATTATTACCCCAGGGTGAAAAGAAGCTTAGACACAGACGCTCATACAGAAAAATTAATGGAAATGCTTTATCTGTCCATTGTTGGAAGAATAGTTAAAGTGGCCAGGGAACTGTTAAACTGATGTATCTGTGCACTGAGCAACACGACCAGATTCCCCTGTGGCATATTATCCAGTCAAACCAGTGGCCCATGAGGTGTGACTGAAAATGGTGAATGTTTAAATTTTTAAAAAAATTGTTACAGCAAAATATTACACATTGTCATTAATCCTCCAAAATACTACTCTTCACTCTGAACATACTTCTCCCATCATTCTTGGCACTTTCTGAAATCCTTTTTTCTGTATATCTTTAGTTGCACTCTCCTGGCTGCCTCAAGGTCATAAATCAAAGTGAAACATTCACATTTCATGGGCGTTTTGACTTTGGGAAGACCCAGAAGTTCCAAAGTACCAGATCTGATGAGGATGCACCCGTAATATTTTTGCAAGCCTGCCTTCCAGTTGGCTGGCACTCTGCATTCACTGAATTTTTGATCCTTTACACCTTGTAAAGATATTCATGAAAGAAGACTTCAGAACTGCTTCAAAAAGTAGCAAGAATGATGGAATAAGTGTGTTCAAAGCAAGAGGGAGTATGGAGGGGGGGAATGGTACTGTATCTTTTACTGCAATAATTTTTTTAATTATTCACTGTACACTTCCATCACACCTTGTACAAAACAGCATGGGTCCAAATAGTGTCCTTCTAATTGTGTGCTATACATGAAAACGTGCTTGGAAAGAGGGATGTAACTCTATGTACTAAAATTGGGTAGAGGATAAAAGATCTTTTCCTACTATGCATAGTATATAATTTTTTACAGTGGGTCTGTATTCTCTTTTTAATTAGAAACTAAAACTACTCTGAGTTTATGTCAAATAATTAGAACAAAGACTAAAGGAGTCAAAATGGACTCCTTTTTAAAGATAAATTGATATTTTTCCATGACTCTTATCTCTTCCTTTGTACGAAACTCGGTTCTTTCCCTCAGCTGACCCTTACCATGATCCTCTTTTCTCCAACAGGGTCTTTGCATTTCTTTTTACAAAACCATCCATTTTCCTCCTCTCTCTTAAAACCTTGCTTCAGAAAAATTCCTCCAATAAATAACGAGTGCAGAAATATATTTAATTTTTTCACAGAGTAATTAAGGATAATTCATTGTGTTCCTCTAAAAATGATTGAAAGATAATGCTGTTTGCATCAATACTGTATTAATGCAATTTAGGCAAAATGCTAGATGTTAAGCAAAATTTCTATTGAAGGATTACTTTAACCTCCCCACAAGTGGCACAGTTGAGAAGAATTATTTTAAGAATAATGAAGTGTAAAAAAAAAATAGCACTTTAGTAAAAGAAACTTCCTCTGACAATTGTGAAATACGAGGGTTATTAGCACCTGGAATTTCCAGTCAGTATTTTGCGCTGAACCTATTATTTCTTTTTTTCCATTTCAATGCCGCCTACAGGGTAGGTTCAGATGGCCCAGGGACAAAACCTTACCTTGGTTCCGATCTTAGTAGAGTCTTGCTAGGTTGGCTCATGGAAAGAATGAGAACAGTTAGATTAACAGTCATGCTTTGATCAGTCCAATGTGATTGCAGATTCCCGGTCCACCGCCGCCTACATTGGCAGCCAAAACAGTCCCAGTGCCGGTCCAGGTAAGACCCTCAGCTGTCCTCACTGCTTCTTCCCAAGGGGTCTCATTTCCTAATTCCTTGCCATTTATTTAGGGTTGGACAGAGCATTAAACCAGTTGAGCCAACAGAAGATCCTGCTTCCAATCTCAGGCTTGTCAGGAAAGTAAGGAAGTTGTTCAATAAGCAAGGCCGATCCCCAGTCTCCGTTCCCGCGAGGCAATTTTGTGCAGGTTTTGCTAGAAATTCCTGAATCTTATAAACCTGAAAGGGGAGACTCTCTGGGGTTGATGTTTGAGAACTTGGTTAAAAGAGTAAGGAACATTTTTATCATCTCACAGCCTATTGTGTTTGGGTTCTCTGTAATGCGGGGGTAGAAGCACATTCTGTCTTCTCCAGGAATTCGCCTCTGAATTGTGACTTTGGCTTACCTCTCTTCACTTGTGTGTGCCTCCTGGTGTGTGCTCAGAACTGGGGATGCACAACTCAGTGTCTCCTCTGAGACACTGTCCGGGCCTGCAGAGATTAGAAAGGGGAATCAAGTAAGGTGTGCTGTTTTCCACAAACTCTGCTCCTTGAGCAGATTGGCTGGGTAAGAAAACACAGGGGACAAGGCTCAGAGACCCAGCCTGCGGTGGAGAGCTGTTCAGGTTTTCCTCCTGTCGGGGAGGACAGCCATCTGCCCGTCCCATGTAGGAGATTCCTTGAAAGTACAGGTTCTGTTTTGTTTTGATATGGGTGGGATTGGAGGAGGGGCGCCGTGGATCCCCTGGCCAGGGCTAGCAGTTTCCATGAGCTTCACAAAGGCACTGTTGCCGATGTATCCGTTGTGGTCCTGGCCAGAAGGTCTTAGGAATCAGAGCACCGGCCAGAGCGAGGACCCCAAGACCACCACAGGCCTAAAAGGCCCACAGGCCTGTTCACAAGGCCACACCTCGGGGCACTGTCTCCTCTGGTTCCCTTGGCCATGATTTCTGCTGCCTCTGCAACTCCCAAAAGTAGAGCCAAATACAGAAAGCTCAGCTGATTTCCTAGAAAATTGGAACTAGGGTCACTGCAGGGCACAGAATAAGGGAAGAAAGTCGTTTTTTAGTTGTGTATAAATCAGAGACCCTGTGTAACCCTTCAAGCATCCAAAGGCAAAATTCTTCCAGCACTGCCTTCCAGGAACCCCCGGGAGCAGGTGTGAACCAAGGGAAGCTGCCCACCGCCTGCCGCCCCAGCCTGCCTGGAATGTGCCCGTGTGGCCCTCTGAGCACACTCACTCTCGGCCTCCACAACCCAGGCCCAGGTCACCATGACGCCTTCGCTTTGTTTGTCCTCAGTGCATCAAAGAGAATGTCTCTGTCAACTCAGATGCCCAAGGCTCCCGTTACTTCCTGTCCCCTGGAGACAGCTCCTGCCTCCCCAGGGCCCATCCCCTTCTGACCTCTGAGATTAAGCACAAACACCTGAGCACACTGTGCGAACCAGACATGGCTGGGAGTGAGTTGTGAGGCCACAAACTATATTCCCGATCTCCATCTCCCATTGCCCACTGCCTGACCACCTGAGGGTTGCCTGATGGCTGTATCCGCCCAATGCAGTTGGTCCCATTCCCTTTGATTTAACTTTATCATCCTCCCATTCTTGAGCTCTGTGAGTCTCTTCTCCTGTCTCCTTCATGATCCTGATAGATACACTCAATATCAGTGACCCTCGCCGAGGTTCCTACTTCCCTCACCCCCTGCCCATTTCTGCTGTTCCTCTCTTCATCCCTGCAGCTTTGCTTGGAGTTTCAGAGACCCTCCCTTGCACTCTCAAAGTGCCCTTGCTTTGGAAGACTCTCCCGGACTCAACTGGTCACCAGCGCTCGTCAGGACTCCTGGCGGCGGCGGGCGGGTCGTTGCCCACTCTGAGCAAAGGCAGGGAAGATCCCTGGGGTTCTTAGGTGTTCTTCAACCTGCTCTCACTGTGGATAGAGTCATGAGTTTCAGGCAAATTGCCCAGTTCCTCAGCTAAAAACTGGTCAGATCGTAGAACAAGAAAGAATGATAAAAATGCCTCTGGTCAAACTGCCTATCAAAACATGAATCCCTTATGACAGGCCAGACAGAAGTTTTTCCCATGTCTGATAATTTCACTTGGAGGATGGCTCTGTTGGATATATATAACCCTTTAGAACTTCAGCTCACAGTTGTTCTAACCTGGTGCTTCTCAAAATGTGGTCCAGGAACACTGCGAGGTCCTCCTTTGGACTATCTATTCATGAGAACCGATATTCTTCACATATTTCAACAAAAACAACATATCACAACACAACTGACTGCAGGCCAAGATATCAGATCCCTGCAGCTTTCCTTCAGGACAGACACTGAAGAAATTTGCCACTCTTCTCAGAGAGCTCTTATGTTTTGGAAAACAGCTAGTTTTCATTAAAAACCAGATTTATGGTAAAATATAAAAGGTGTATTATTTCTAATAGCTAAATATATTACTACTTAACATTCTATTTCAAGTGAGAGAATGCAATTTTAATTTCTAAATGTTAAAAATCGGTAGCTAGGAGCCACACAAACAAAAGCTCTTTGAGGTCTTCAATGATTTTTAAGAGTGTACAGAAGATGAGACACTGAGAATCCCTTAAATGTGAGAGCCTTTCAAATATATGAAACTAGACATTATGTCCTTCTTCATGTCTCATCTTTTCTAGAATAAATTTCTCCAATCCCTCCAACAGGTCTTTATACGACTTGGCAGCACATGCTCTAGCTGCCATCTGTTAGTGTTCTGTGGTACAAGGGACCCGGAGAAGAACACAGTGCTTGTGTGCCAGGAAATCGCTGTCTCACTGAATCATCCCAGGTTACATCTGGAGGAAGCTCTGCCTCACCATTGGCGTATCTCACACCACACTTGCAATTACTAAAATCCCCAAGGTTTTTTCTCTTGAACTTCTATAGAAGCAGGCCTCCCACCCTCTCTGTGTACAGTTGAGTTTGTAACCCAAGTTGGACTATCACACATATTCCCCCTTTGTCTGTGGTAATTGTCCTGAATCTTATTTCTGTCACTGAATGTGCTAGCCCTCTGATCTTTGTGTCATCTGAAAAACTGGCAAACATTCCACATGAATCCATTCCAGTCACTGATAAAAATACAGGTGTATCCCATGGGGCTAGGTCCTGTAAGCCCCACTTGCCTCTTCTGTGCTAGGTCAGTCCATGAACAGACACAAGCAGCTACCCGTGGTCTGATGTCATCAGGCTCAGTATTTCATTCCCTCCTCTGCAGGACACCAGACTTACAGCTCATGGGTGATTCTTTTTTTTTTTTTGGACCGGGGATCAAACTCAGGACCTTGTGCTTTCGAGGCAGGCAGTGGAACCACTGAGCTACATACCTGGCCCTCATGGGTGATTCTTGCTACCCCCACCCACTGTACCTCCTACTCACATACCCCTGATTTAAGCCACCATTCTCATTACAGGAAAGCTTATTTAATTTAAAAAATATTTTTCAGCATATGTCTTAGAACTACAAAAATGAATGAAATTTTTCCAAATTCTAGAATTCTCCTGCTGGAGTTTTTGCTTCACAGGTCCCAGCTCCTCTTCTGCTAGCAATTCCTCTGCCTCCTATAGATGGGGCCCCCTGGGGCCAACCCCCTACCTTCCTATAAGGTCCCTCAGAGTTGGGACAGGAGGGCCTGCTGTAGTCTCACCCCCTGCTGTAGTCAAATTAGACCTTAGTGACCCCCCTGAGAACCACCCTTAACCACAGTGGCTTCGTGTACCATGAGCTGCATTTGAGTCCAGTAAGCTTCAGTGGCCCGGAAGCCCATGATTACAGGGTTAATGTTGTTTCCATGAAAAAAGGCTGCCAGGTCCCAAACGAGAATCCCACACAGAGTCCTGGAGGGTAACCTGTTTATAAGCACAGGACTATGGATGAATCCCTGGCATGATGGCTGGTGCCGGGACTTCAGATTGTCCCCAGTCTTCTCTGAAAGCCCTCACACAATGGGCTGCTGATGTGGCCATTCCTTGGGTGCAGCTCCAGGGCTCTGGAAACATGACACTAGGAAAAGGGAAAGGAAGCCCAGAAGGAGATAAAACCAATACAAAGATCATCACTGGGGTCAGAGGAGCAGGACTTTTTGAAGACTTGGCCACATTAACAGGAGTTACAGGCGGCTGTGCCCAGCAAGTCTTCAGTGGCCTAACCGAGTACCCTGAGATGCTGAAGCAACAACTCTTTCTCACCTGTGCTAAATACATAGTGTTTAACCACAGATTGTGGAACCTGCCTCCGGGGCTCAGAGTTCAGCTTTGCCACTCCCTTTGCAATAGCTTTCTCACTGGTAAAACGGAGTCATAGTTCTACCTAACTCACAGTCATTGTGACTTACTGCTTAGAAAGTGCTTCTGCTGGAAATCCAACAAGCTCCAGATAAATGCTAGTGGTGTCCACATTTTTACCACGGAAATCACTCAGAACCAATACTTCTTTTAGCTCTGACTGTATCGAAGGTGGCTAAGCGAAGATGGTCACAAAAACAATGCCCTGGCTTTTTGTTTGGTACCGGGGATCAAACTCAGGACCTTGCACTTTCGAGGCAGGTGGCAGCACCACTGAGCTAAATCCCCGGCCCTGCTTTGTTTTGTTTTTAAAGAGTGATTACACTCTTCAGAGTGATCACATGCACCCTGACCTCCTCTGAGTTGCCTCCACGTGAGACCGCGCAGGACAGTCTCTAGGAGCTCAGCATGCGCAGGAGGAAACCACAGGGGAGCTGGAGTGAAGGCGGGTGAGGCTGGGCCCCTTGGTTTGGCAGCCCTAGGAGGCATCTTCTGAATTCTCTTTCCCATACCACTCTGGTCCTCCTTGACAACACAACCTAAATGTTCTCACGAACTTACTTCTCATTACTACCAAGTCCCAAAACACCAGGTCTCAGCTGTACAAATATTTTTCAGCCCTTGGCTTTTAGATGAATGTGTTGGTTCAAACTTGTCCCAAAAAAGAAGAAAGTGGCATTGATAGAAAGACAAACTTCCAGGACAGAAATAAGAGGCTTGGAAATCCCTGATGCCGGGAACTGCTTCTCTCCTATTAACATAATAGAGCACCCAGCATTCTAACCTTCATGACATTCAAGGGTGCTTAGGCAAGAAAAAAATGGGGACAAGAAGTGGGAAAAGCCCGTGTTTTAAGACTAGAGCAAAGTGCCTATTTTCACCAGTAGGTGGCAATAGAGTAATAAGGCTAAAGAAGCAAAATGTTTGATGATAAATCATAAATATCTTGAACATGGAGACCATATCATGGATTTTTTACTAAGAAATTAAGACCTCCAGCAGCTACCTAGCTTGCTCAACGTCTTGCAGCTGGTTAATGGCTGGGCCAGATTAAACCCAATTCTCCCCATTAAGCAGGATGGCAAGAGCATGAATTGCCTTCCAACACTGCCCGGCTCTTACGACATACAGAAAAATATCTCTGGTTTTGAGTATGCAAATAATTCCAGTTGGCAGGAAAGCATAAAGCCTGTATGAAATGAAACAGTTAATCACACTCTCAACCTTCTAAGAGAGGGAAGAAGGCAGAAAGGGAACAAGAGAAAAAGGGAGGACAGTGGCCATTTTTGTGTCCTTCTGAGGCTTCCTAATGTTTGCGCTGCTTCTGAGCCCCTCCCAGCTATGATTCCCCCAGAGAGAGCAGGAATTATTCTGTAATCTTCCCTTCGCCACCACCCTTTCTACTCCATCAGCGTGTTTGTGACTAAGGACATGAAACATCTCACTGCATGTAGAATCCAAGTGCCACGCTGTTTTATTCTGCTTAGGGCACATGGAAGTAGAAGCTCAGGAAACAAGTGGGTTGCTGCGCCCTGGAGGGGCCAGATTTCTCTGTATGGTTCCAGAGAAGATAATTCAGACAAACACATGGTATTGCCGTAGCTAGAGTGATATTAAGCATATACTAAGTGCTAAATGTATGAATGGGGTGGGTGTGGATGGATGGATGGATGGATGGATGGATCGATGGGTGAATTAACTGATGAAGATAGATTTAGGGTCAAATTTTCAGATCCCTATAATGAAATTTTTTTCACAGTCTCAATAATCCAAGAAGGAATAGGCATAAATGCTATTTTGGTTGGATATGTGATGAAATTCTTGTCTTTGGAAGTATTAAAGCACCAACCAGCCCAGCCACTCACTTGAGGTAATGTTGTAAAAGCAGACTGAGGGATGCTTTGGACTAGATGAGCTTTTTAGGTCCTTTAGAATCCTAGAATCCATGATTCTTGGTGTCTAGTGAAAGAAATATACAACAATAATTATGCCTTCGCCTGTAAGAGTTTTAGACAGGAAACTAACACAAATTTAAGGTTGCTTCATCCAAAATTGTGGTCCCATGCTTCTATGCTGACACAATTAGGAAACACCATTCTAGCGGTTCACTCCAGAGGCTCTGCTGGTGTGGTTTAAGTAAAAAGTTTCTTTTTAATTTTGAAAATCAGAAGAAACAGACCTGTGGAAGGGGAACAAGTCCTTTTAGACACAGGTAATTATACACCCCAAACTCTCAGCAGTGGCTGGATCAGCACGCACAAAGGTTCAAACCTAGGAGGGTCTAACAATCCAGATGGTGGCCACTAAGCCAAACGCCTCTGAAGCGTCGTCCGTCCTTCCTAATGACTGGGACATTCAGATCTTGTTCTCTAGGGAGGCCTGGTGTTAAGGGGAACACGAGATTAACAAAAGGGAGAAAGGAAACTGAAGACAAAAAGTCAGAAAGGAGTTAGTTCCCCACCCCAAATGGGTGGTATTAAACTCTCACTCCATCTGGCAACACTTTGACATCCTGATTTCTCTTCCCTGTTTGCAAAAATGTTATTCCCGTTGTTTACTATTGACTGCGTTGAATGTTTGAAATTCCAACAAATCAAGCCTCCTGGACATTGTACTGGGGGAAACGGGGACCAGTGGTAGGAGAATGGGGAGGACTCGGCCCCTGAGTTTGTCTTGCTCCCCTCCCTACAACCTACAACTTCAAGGCTTTCCCTGAGAGGCTTTCTGGCTGAGAAATGCTGTTCAACACCCAAAGTGAATTTTTTTAATGATGTGAGGAAGTGGGGTGAGCAAGCTGACCTTTGATGGGAAGATGAAATCATGTGCTTTGCAAACTGGAAAAAAATAAGCCAAAGTGCCAGGAGGTAATGCACTGCAGCCAAAGTGAAGACGGATCCCAGCATCTTCCTCCACCCGCCCAATTCCTGAACTTCCGGGCATCCTGAAAACAGGAGACACCCTTCCGATGGATCTCTGCTTGGGAAACAAGGTGGTCTAACCCAGCCTAAAAGAATTCTCTTTTATTGTCTCCATTTCCTTAAAGGGCATATTTGTGAACTCAACATTTGAATGGCTCTAAAGAACCCCCCACCCCTGCCAGGCTAAGATTCACCTCCTACCTGGCCTCTCACAGCAGAAATGGTTTTGTCTCTACACCCTCTTGAGTTGCTTTTATCTGAGCTCTTCTTCTCAGGTCTACATCCAACCCTCTTTCGATTGTCCTCCACCTGTCTAGATTGCGTTAATCTTCAAATGACTGAGGATAGATAGGCTGGACACAGTGAAAGTTTGTGTGAACCAGACACATTTCCTGACTTCAAGATTTTCAGAATTTTACGGAGGAATAATTTACAGTGGCAAAGTTCTTACTGCTTTCAGATGAGGAAACTAAGGCTCAGCCAGAACAATTTAAAATAAATGAGAACTCAAGTCTGATTTCAGACCTCCCTGACCACCCAACCGAGTATTATCTTTAGCAGACTGTCAGTAAATATTAATTTATTCTTATTTTTCTCAGGGTGGGAGTGGTGTGGAAAACAGCTAGCTCTAAGCCAAGCCCCTGAGCTAGGTGTGAATACTACTGAGTCCCCTTCCCCGGGGTAAGGCCAGATGCTTCCTGTAACTTATAAGTCACCAAAAGTTTTACTGCTCTTTCCAGGATTTGTTCCAAAAGAAGAATTAAGCACACAGGCTTTGGAGCCAGTGTCCCTGGGAGATCCGAGTAAGTTAATTGGCAGCTAAAAACCCATGGAGGTTTTGACATCTGATCTGCTCTTTCTCTTCTCTACCCACTCACTCCTACCCAAGGCTGTCTCTCTCCTGCCATGGGTCTGTTTATCTCCTCTCTTCTATCACATTGTTCTAAGGAGAAAAGGGAGCTTTTGAAGGATTTAAATGGTGCACATGAGGAGGAAAAGATCAGGTTTTTAAATATCACTATGGCAACAGAGTGATGAATGTGAAGGAATGAGGACAAAATGGCAGATGAAAGGAACAGACAGACCACTCAGCAGGGACAATGGTGCCGTGGTAGTGATGGTGGGCAGAGCTTGGAGTCGGAAGCGGAAATGGAGAGAAATAGGCAGGTTCAAGAGATATAAAGAAGAAAGAATCTATGGGATTGGGGTGGAGGCATGAGAGGAAGCAGAAAAATGATTTGAGCAATGGGTAAACAGTACTCCAGTGAGGAACATAGGATGGAACAGGTTTGGGGATGGGGAGATCATTTTTGTTTAGCATCTTCCATGAGATGTCCAGTTTAGTAGAAAGATGACTGCTCAGGTCTGATGTTCAGATGAGACAGCCCAGTCAGAAATTTAGAATTGGGGATGCAGAGCAAGATGGTGGCTGAGGAAGGCCATCTGGCAACTGTCTTCCCACAGAAATACCAAGTTGAATAGCTGTACACACCAAACCACCCACACAAAACCTAAGGAAACCAGGTTATCATATAGTCTTCTGTCCCTTCTCTAAAGTGGGTATGAAAATATATCCAAAAAAAGAGAAAAGAATTAGAGTTGGAAAACCATGAGCAATGGTTCAACACTGGGGCTATGAGAACAGAAAATATGACCTAATGAGATAGAGCAGAATCAGAAGAAATAGAGGAGTTAAACCTGAAGAACCACAGTTGGTGGAAGAGAAGCTACCTAAGGATACTGGAAAGGAAGGATCAGAGAAAGAGAAGAAAACAAGAAAGATGTGGTCATCTGCAAACAACAGAAAGAAAGCACTTTCAGGTTCCCCTAGAAAGCAGTTATAGGTCAGCCATCAATGGGCTGTGAGTCTCAACTCTGCTGCACGTGACAATTACCTGAAGACATTCTTTCTTTTTTTGTTGTTACTTGAGACAGGATCTCTATATAGTTCAGGCTCAGTGTGTACTCCAGGTTGGCCTCAAACTCATGGCGATCCTCCTGTCTCTCCCTCTCGAGTCCTGGGGTTACAGCATGTACTACCACGCCTGGCCCACATCCTGCCTCATGCATACATGTGTCAGAGTCTCCTTGGACCTGGCTATACCAGATGTGGCCTGGGGTCCAGCAGCATCAGGGTCACCTAGGAATTTGTTCCAAATGCAGTCTTTGGTCCCCTTGAGAAATACTATCTAGTGATTTCCAGGCATCTTTATTAGTGGAAGTTGCATGAGCAACTCTGTTAGGTGTATGACTCTGATATGTGTCCAGGGTTAAGATGAATTGAACAACATAAAGCGCTAATCTATAGAGTTGTACCATGTTGAAGAAAACCAAAGAAATTAAGAAAACTGGTAGACTGCCTCCCCTTGACACTGTATCTCACCTTTTCTTCTTTGTCCTCCATCCTGCTTTCTGATACCACACTAAATTTCTCATGCAGAACATTTCACAACCCAATCCTACCTATGGTTGGTGCCATCTTCAGATCAGCATGTTTTCATCTCAATATGATAAAGCTGCCAAGTCTTTCAAAACCGCCAAGACATCATCTGCCCTGAGCTGGAGCCACTGTCATTAAAATATCCTAGGCAAAGGGAATCAAAGGTGATCTCCACATCAGCCATCAGGGCACTGAGCAAAGAGAACTAAGTAAATAGAGAAATACCTAACTTTCTTTTCTAAAGCCTAGCTGAGAAATGAATGTGTCATTACTGAATACAGTTGAAGATATAAGAAATGAGGGAACAAAATCTGTCCAAGAGGTACCCAGCTATCCTTAGTTGCTACAAAAGCCATATACTGCACTATTTTACATTTAAAATAAATGAATGAAAGAAAATCTCCTTCAGCCCATACACTAATACCGCCCCCCCAAAAAATAAAAGCTATTTAAAATGCATATTGAACTAATCTGCTGACAACTGGAAGGAAAACCTGAGTGCTTCTCCAACTTTACTGTGTACATGGATCAGTCGGGTCTCCTTATTACAAGGTAGGTCTGATTCTGTAGGTGGGCACGGAGCCTGACAGTCCACATGTCTAGCGAAGAGTAGGTGTTGGTGGGTGGCAATCCCTAAAGAACATCACTGCCACCTGCTGGCAAAACTTCACAACGCAAGGCCAGACCTAGAAAAAAATGAGTTGGTCGTCTTGGGGAGCAACCACATACATAAGAAAAGCCTTACAGCAGTTCTGCTCTCTTCTGCTCCATTCCAGGCTCTAGTGGCATCTTTAAACTCCAATTCTTGGTTTTTCTTGCTTCTACCAATCATCATCTCAAGGATTATGCTTGGCAATAGGCAGTTTTGCAGGCAGCAAAGAAAAGAACAGGGGAAGCCAGCTGACAGGAAGAATTGGCAGTCACTGAATGTCCAGTCCAGGCAGACAATAGGTGAAGGATCTGAGATCCGTGAATGCACTAAGACCTACCGGATACAGTGGCACACACCTGTGTTCCAGTTCCTCTGAAGACAGGCAAGAGGATCAAAGTTCCGGGCCAGCCTGGGCAACTTAGTGCGACCCTGTCTGAAAATAAAAAATAACAATGGCTGGGGTATAAGTTGGGGTATAAGTAGATGAATATACCCTGAACTCTGCCACCTCTTTTTCACTTTCTTCTCATTGGACTCTCAGGGGCTGGTGGAGAAAGAGAGGAATAAGAGGTTGCTTGGGTGAATGCAAAGGGTGATAATTAGAATAATAATCTTTTTTCTATTCCCCAGACTGCAAAGTTGACTTGTCATTTTTAATTGATGGGAGCTCCAGCATCGGCAAGCGTCGGTTCCGAATCCAGAAGCAGTTCCTGGCTGATGTCGCCCAGGCCGTTGACATCGGCCCCTCCGGTCCTCTGATGGGCGTTGTTCAGTATGGGTGAGTGCAGTTTGTGTTCTGAATTTAGAAACAAAGTGACGATGTTTGCTTAGTTTTATGCCACATATAATACCAGCATGTCCTAGAGTACAGATCTGTTCTGTGTAATGTAAATGAAAAAAACCGGAACAGTCTGGATGCCAGTTAAGAAACATGAGCCTTTCTCAAGGGACAGACAGTTTAATAAACACTTGTAAGTAAATGCCAGTTGCAGTATGACTGATAAAGTCATTATTTGTCTGGAAATTAGGAGAAGTGGATGCAGGTCTTAGCTCAGCCACTTCCTGTGTGTGTTGCCTCTCTGATCACCAGCTCCCTCCCTGGTCTGTGGCTGCAGCAGGCTAGGTCCCCTTTCATCCTTGACTACTGGGACCCGTGTTTGTGGCGATCCATCCACTTACAGGTAAGACACCCAGAGAGCCCAGGGCCTTAGCGCTGTGTTTCCTTTCTCCGTACCTTACCTGGGGCCTCTGTGCTGCTGCCAGAGAAGCTCCTGAGGCAACAGGGAAGGTGAGCGTGGAGACAGATGGCCCCATCGGTCAGCTGGCCACCGAAGTGCTGTCCCGGTCTGCTTCATTATTTTACTTGGGGTGGAAATTAAGGAGTCCTCTTCCCATTCCAAAGTCTACCTTCTTTTTCTCTTCTTTGGGATAATAAATCAATCTTATCTCAGATGTGAATGGATTTCTCCCTAAAACAGATATTGACATAATAATCAAAAGAGAGAACAGGCACAGGTCTCAGATTTACATCTCAAATAAGTGGGTTTTTGGCCAACGACTGTTGAGGGCAGGATGACTACCCCTCCTTTCCCGGAATACCTGCAGTTCAGGCCCCGGAAGTGGCCTCCTCCATGGCCACCACTCCTTCACCCCTTCAGAGGTTTCCCAAAGATTTCCTGAAGCAGCTTTTTAACTGAAGTAGTTCCATCAAAGACGTTAGAATATTTATTTTTAAGTTACCAAAAGAAACAAACAAAAGGGCTTCATTTTCAAAAGAACCTATAACATTTGAATTTTGAGAATTAAACTCCAATAACACATTTAGCTCTTCTTGTGAGGAAAAATTAGTAGATTAGTTAATTGCACTTACATGTAGTCAGAGTCAATTATATAAAAATAGCTCATTGCTCCAAATGCTGTGTCTCAATGTCAATGCATCGTAAGGCTTTTGGTGTGAAATAAGGTTTTAAAAAAATTATTGTTTTGTTCTTTTGAAAATGTTAACCCATTCCTGTGTTAGTTTTTAAGATAGCAAACAGATAACAGGCTTTTCTATAAGGAGGAAATACAAGTATTTCAGTAACAGATGACCCTATTCCATTTTATTAGGAGGTTCAAATCTTGGTGTGTTGTCTTGCACTAAAAATAGCTGCTTTAAAAACTGCAGATGCCAAGGATGATAGCAAGGTATGAAACTAAGGTGATAAATATGTAAAGGAAAAGAAAAATGGCCCTAGGATAATGCTCTGTGCCAATGAGAACATGGATTAAAGAACAAATGTAGCAGAGAAGAAAAACCATAAAGATTCCTTCCCCTTGCCGTGGCTGGAATGTGTCCCCCAGTGTTCATGTGTTGGAAACTTTTCCCCCAGTGCAGCAGTGTTGAGAGTCAGGACCTTGGAGAAGTGATTAGGAATTGGCTAATGTTATTATCAAGGGCCCGGGATAGTTATCAAGAGGGTGGGTTTGCCACCAAAGAGAGTTCGGCCTTGTGTCGCTTTAGCTCTCTTAAGTACTCTTTCTTCTGCCTTCTGCCATGGGATACCCCACATGAAGGCCTTTGCCAGGTGTGGACTTCTCAATCTTGATCTTTCCAGCCTCCAGAACTGTAGTAAGAAATGTTTCTTAGCCAGGCATGGTGGCACATGCCTGGAGTCCCAGCACTCAGGAGGCTGAGGCAGGAGGATCACCATAAGTTTGAGGCCAGCCAGGGCTACAAAGTGAGCTCAAGGCCAGCCTGAACTACATAGTGAGACCCTGTCTCAAAATAAATAAATGTTTCTTTTCAATAAGTTATGCAGTCTCTACAGTATTCTGTTACACAACACAAAACAGACACACACACGAACACACTACAAAACGTGCTCTGCTACACTTTCCTAATGCAATTACCTTTTGCAAGAAAAAGATTACCTTCGTGCTTTCCAGTTTCACCTTCCATAATATCTGCCTTTTTCTCTCCAGCTCCCAGTTAACGTAAAGCACTAAGGAAAATGTGTGTGCTTTCCTCCCCTTTATAATCACATAAACCAGTCCATCATCTTCACCTTGCTTTGGCAACAAGAAGGAAAAGAAACACAGTGAACTGCGGATGGGCAATCTAGATTCTGACCTCAGCCCTGCTGTGTGACCTTCAGCAAGTCACTTAACCTCTCCGTGTGAGTGGGGCCACCTGTAAGGTACAGCGGTCAGCCGAGGATTTGTTAGTGCTCTGTCAGCCTGGTGTTCTGTAATTCAGTGATTGGCTTTGTATCCAGATGACACCCAGTACATGAGTGTTGGACTAACAGACTACTGAGTTGCTTCCCTCTTCCTTCCAGCCTCAGGGTCCCAGCTAGCTGGGATGGTCTAAGATGAAAAGATGAGTTGCGTCCAGGTTATATATCCATCCTGGGAAGAGAGAAACAAAATAAATTAGAGAACAACCCGATGGGACTGAGGGGGTGACATGTTTATGCAGCTGAAGTTGCTCTGGGGCTCAGGTGCCGAGCACTCCCACACGGACAGCTCCCCTCAGTCCCTTCTCCATCACATGCCGAGGACAGGGATCTGGCAGGAAAGGCATGGGGTAGACGCAGATCCAGGACCTGTGTTTCTGTAAAAGGACAAGTATGTTGGGAATCTAGGAATCTGATTCTTCTGACAGTGTTTTGGGTTCTCACCAGGTTCTAAAGCTCCTGTAAGAGGATTCTCCAAAGAAACAGAACCGATACAACATATAGCATCGTAAGAGAAGGTTTATTAAATTGGCTTCAATGACCAGTGGCTGAATAGTCCCACAATGGCCACCTGTAAGCTGGAGAGCTGGGGTAACTTCTAGATGCTCAATCAAAGAAGGCACAAGCCTCAGAACAAGAGGAGGGCCCGGGATTTAGCTCAGTGGTGCCACCGCCTGCCTCACAAGTGCAAGGTCCCAAGTTGGATCCCTGGTAACAAAAAAATCACAACAGTATGCAGTACAAGAGAAAGAGGCTATCACACAGCCCCACCCCAAGGATGAAGGCCTGAACGTCCCTGGGGAGCTGCTGGTAGAAGTTCAAGTTCGAAGGCTGAGGAATCTGGAGCCAGATGCCCATGAGGGATGGCAGCAGCAAAATCGCACCTACTCCTGTGCGTGTGCCACCTTCCTCCATCTGCTGGTTTGTTCCTTCCGGTCCCCCAGCCTATGGGTTGTGCGGCTCATGTTCAGGGCAGGTCTTCCCCAAGCAGTTCACTGACCCACCTGCCAGTCTTCTCTGGCAACACACCCAGAAGTGTGCTTTACCAACTTTCTAGACTTCTGCTCATCCAGGGAAGTTGACAACCAAGATGAATCATCAAATTCTCTCTACTCCCACTTGGGATCGACCCCGTGTCTTGGAATTATGGAACCTCGAGGCCTCAGAGAACAAACAAGTGGTTCTGCTTCTTTCTGGTACAGTGAGGGTGCGAGGCCCTATAGAGAAGTGACTTGCCCTCAGGAATGCGCCCTTGAGGGAGAGGCTAAGGTTGAAAGGGACCCAAGGAGAAGCCCATAACCCTGAATTTGTCCTCCCCTTAGGCTCTCGCTCCCATTACAGTGGATACTGTACCACACAGCGCAGGCCACAGAAGAGGCCTCTCCCTGCTCTTCCTGAGGAAAGTTGGGTCTGAATTCAGATCTTTAAATTTATAATTAAAAAAAAAATTTTAAACTTAGACGACTCGTACTAAATGTCAGTGGGAAACAAGAAATAAAAATTCAAGATGTATAAGAACAGTGTGATTTACAAAGTGCAACACATCCTGATTCCTCAGATATCTTACTCAGAGATCCTCCGGGTGCAAGAAACAGAAAACCATTCCGGTGGCCCAGGAGAAGGGAGACTTATGGTGGGAGCACTCCTTGCCTCTGTCCCTCGTCTCCAACCATCTCTGGCTCTCTGTTGGTCCACATCACTCTTCCCTCAGCAGACCAGCATCTTCTGCCTGGCTCTTGGTTCCTGCTACTGCAATACTTTACCTAACCTGACAGACCTTCTACCTCTGCTCCAGGCCCAGGCAAGGTCTCCACCCCGTGACACCACATGCTCACTCTCCAGCATTCCTCCCTGCCGCAGCTAAAAACCCACATCCACATCAACCTGTGAGCAACCACAGCATGCATATCACAATTATCACCTCCAGTTAGAGAGACAGCATTCCCTACAGACTCAGAGACACTGAGAGACTTCCCCAAGAATACCAGCTAACCGCCTGACCATGGGATGAGGGCAAATAGCAATCTTGAGTCAATCCCCACAATGTCAAACAACATTGACTTGAGGAAATGCTTGTCTGCCAGGAGAGCTGATAGTTGACACTTTGCCCCAGACTGAAGAACAGGTCACTGAGCTTGAACCAAATGCCAAGCCTCAAGCCCCTGTCTTGTATATGTATTCTGTTAAAATTGTACACCCAGTGGCCTGTGGCTGCACTTCCTACCAACAGAAACACTAAAGGCGAAAGAACAACAGCAAATTGCTGTGCAGCGAATTCTAGCAGACAACAGATGCAGCCAAAAGGCTTGTGGTTGAGCTGCAGCTGCATCCACAGGTGCCAAGCTCCCTCAGATAATCTGCTTTCACTGGAGGCCCCAAGTTCAGTATAACAGAACCCCAGTTGTCCCTTTGATACCAACCATAGGACATCAAAATGTTAAAATAACAATGTTTAAATAAAGGGAGATGTTGGGGTTTCTTCATTTAAAAATGAAACTGACTTTCCTTTGCTCACAGATCTATGAGAGTCATTCCCTATTTTAGGGAGAGGCTTTGACTT